GGTGGTGTCAATGGAACGCCTCAGTCAAATTGGAAACGTTTTATTTATGTTAACATTGAGTCTAGACTGGTCTCGACAGGCTCAATAATATATAACATTCATATAGCACATTTCCAAACAAAGTAGCTCAATGCGCTTTACATTGGAATACCCATTTTCAAAACCTTTCTTACTACTTCCTTTCTTCTCATGCAATATACACTTCTGCACACACACACACACACACACACACACACACACACACACACACACACACACACACACGCACACACACACACACACACACACGGACTATTTTCATTCAGACACAGAACAACTGTAATATAAATAACGCTAAAGGCTTATGAAGGATAGGCCTGCAGGAACAGAAAATGCTAAAGATGTCTTCTGAAGCTATCAAGTGTTGTTGTTTGTCTTAGTTCCATGTGTAATCTGTTCCACATAAAGGATCAAGAAATGAGAAAGTTCTCTCTCCATAGGATTGGTGTGATTTTACAGGTGACACAAGTAGGGCGCGGGTGGTTGGCGGGTGCTCTGGTGTGGTTTGCTCCTTCTTTCCTATCAAACATCTATTATCCTTATCTCCCCTCCTTCTATTTTATGTTTGTTACTCCCTTGTAATAACACCTCTAATCTTCGGCACTTATTTGACCGTATTGTGTTGCAAGTGCCGTAAAACACTCACTAAAACTAAAACTAAAACAAGTAGGACTCAAAATACATACCTGTATCCTAACTCATGGTTGTCTATGATACAGGAAAGCATCAAAGGCGTTCTGCCATGGACGTCCTTGGTGTCAATGCCAACTCCATGTTTGTCCACAAGAAGCCGAACCTGAGACAAAGTGAAGATTTAAATCTATGCCATGAGGTGCTTATCTTAAAAAATTGCAGTTCTCCAGTATTTGTTGATTCAAAGGTTTATATATATATATATATATAAAGAACTAAACTATAGACAGGTGTTGATGATCTCGTTCTGCACCCATCATGCTTTCAACTAAGGCTCTAAAATCCAAAATCCAAATATAAGAAAATCAATACCACCCTATTCCCTTTGTCTCTCTTGCGTTTCTCTCTTTCTCTTCCCCCCCCCTCCTCTCTCTCTCTCTCTCTCTCTCTCTCTCTCTCTCTCATCCTCTATCTCTATCTCCCTCTCTCTATATCTCTCTCTCTCTCTCTCTCTCTCCCTCTCTCTATCTCTCTCTATCTCTCTCTATCTCTCTCCCTGCCTCTCCATCTTTTTTACTCCATCTCTCTATTTAAATCTTTGTCTACTTGTATACACAATCGCCCTTTTTCTGAAGATGTATACTACCACCAAAGTACCTGATGTAAGCGCTCATCTAACACTGCTTGATGTAGCGCTGTCTTCACCAGTCTCTTGGACGGCGGGGGTGGCAGGGCTATTTTCTCCATTATGTTATCCTAAAGTTTTCTTACAAACCCACGGGCTGTGGTGGCCAGCGCAAAGTCGTCTTGTGGGGCTGCCTAGATGATGTGGACACAGGTCTGACCAGCGACTCTGTCTTTCATCGTCGTGTGGTGTCGCAAATCAAAGATGAGACCAACATCTGAAACAATAAGACCAATATCTTTAACTTTAAAAAAAATGGTAAGTATCTTACGGCGCTCGCAACTGCATAAGGCTATATGAGCGTGCGGGACGCATTAAGCATTTTCAGTTTGGTAGGAATTAATTTTGAATTTTACTAAGGTGGCGGCTAAAGCCTACTCTTATCGAGTTTAGACCACTAAGAGATCTTTAAACATACGCAACTTGCACTCGGGACCCCCGAGATTTTTTTCACTCTTATCCGAGAAGGCTAGGTGTTAGATCTTACCTAGATCTACCCTAAGGTCAGGGGTATCGCTGAAAGACAGCAGTAAGAAGGAGCTAAGGAGTAGCAGTAGAAAGGCAGAAAAGACCAATACCTGAAACAATAGATGCACAAAATGTCGCTAGGTGCATACAATAATTCTTGACATGGACCAAGAAATCCGAAATCAATTTCCTGTCACTATCTTATGGGACATTCATCATTCTTTATAACACCTCTACCCCCACCCCCGCCCCCCACCTCCTCTTCTCCAGGACCTTCTTGACACGCAGGGCAAAAACAGGGGTGGGGGGTGGGGGGGGGGGACTAGAAGGCATCCCTGGCATGTTGTACTTCTTTTCTTCTCCTCCTTTATTTCTGTTTGTCCATCTTGAGAAAGTTAAGGAGAAGAAGAACGATTTGTTTTAAAATGTAGGTGCCTTTAAGCTCCTATTGACATAATTTAGAACATTTTAGGAGGTAGCCTTCGACCCTGCCTACTAGTAAAGGTGGGCAAAATCCGGATACCTTTCTGGATAAATCGATAATTCTCGATGAAACATAATCCGAATTCAGACTCTTAACTTTCTTTCCTGACTCGTTTGGCGAAGTGGGTGCACCCATTTGTTGAAGTGATGCTAACCCGTTTATCGAAGCAGTTCTAACCATTTGTCGAAGAGGTGCACTAACATATTATTCGGATTTTGCTAAAGCGACCTGCCAGGGCCTAACCGGGTTGAGAGGAACGTAAAATCTCAGCAGATACTTGATACAAATGTTTCCCTCACGGCAATCGAACTCGAGTCTCCTGTGAGCGACAGCAAAGCGCCTAACTGTTACATCACAGACACCGGTAAGAAGATAGATAGATAGATAGATAGATAGATAGAGAGATAGATAGATAGATAGAGAGATAGATAGATAGATAGATAGATAGATAGATAGATAGATAGATAGATAGATAGATATACAGACAGACAGACAGACAGATAGATAGATAGATAGGAGGAAAAAGAGGGGAGGAGGAAAAGTTTATTCCATATATTATGGGTATGGTTGCATGGTGTCTGGCCGTGTTTGTAAAACTGGACTTTGATGATACATAAGATAAGATAAGATAAGATAAGAAAAGATAAGATAAGATAAGATATTTATTGTCCTGAAACTGGCACATTGTTTCACAGAGCTCTCTCTCTCTCTCTCTCTCTCTCTCTCTCTCTCTCTCTCTCTCTCTCTCTCTCTCTCTCTCACACACACACACACACACACACACAAACACAAACACACACACACACACACACACACACATATACACACACACATATAAACACACACAAACATTCACATACGCAAATACATACACACATACTCTTTCAGACACCGTCTCTTTCACGCACATATACACATACATATATTTTTAGGTGTTTACACGCACATTGTGATAACAATTATCTGTTGTTGAGAACTATAATATTTAAGATTATTGTCATTATTCTGGCAGTATTCCCGTGGTATTCTGATAATAAAGGCTTTTAAAATCATGAAAAATACTTATTTTACATGTAATCAAGATGGTAGGCTATAGGAGTTCCATACATGATGGTAAAAAATACCTTCTGTTTCTTTCTTTGTGGCATAAATATTTCAGTGAACCCTCATACTTTTAAAAAAATCTACGGTCTTACACCTTTTCCTCCCTCCATATTCCCTTAAGGTATTTACAAATCGAAGAAAATAAAATGATAAAATCTTGAAGAAACAGACCATGGAATAAAGTATATCCATTGAGAAGGAAAACACTTAAGGTATCACAAATGGTCCATCTCCTTTACTAGGACCAATTCCCTCTTCAAGTGCTGCTATAAAAAGACGGCAGATTGCTTGTCTCATCGGTAATCTCATTGATTTAATAGTCGGGCCGGGCAGCTATTAAGTTCTAGTCTGAACGCAGCAATTACTTGAATCTCTGAAGACGGGATTACTTTGAAGTAGTCGAAGAGCCCGCATTGGCACAATCCCTCGCATGGTTCCTAGAAATGCTGTAAACCATCTCCGTGGTAACGCATCTAAAAAACGAGGCGCTCGGCGATCATATTGAAAATTGTTTAAAAGCTATGAGGGATAAACTTATTGTAGATGGGCGAAAGACACAGGTCTATGCACAGAGACATGCGCCTTCATCCTTTTGCTATGCACAGAGATATGTCCCCTCATCCTTTTGCTTAAATCCGACTCGATCCGCCGTGTAGACGAAATGATAAGAACAACTCCAAAAAAGAAATTCAAAAACAGATAGGCTTAGAAATTCTATGAAATGTAAAGATTCGTCTCTATGTCGCTGAGTACGAAGTGCCGAAAGCGTTGGCTGAAACCGCAGACTATACATATTTTGCCGTAATGCTTAAATTGTCGTCGAAGCTGATCCTCTCTTCCTCTTGGTCTTAAGTGCCATGGTGCTCCTAAATACCTTGTTGGGCGGAGAATTGATTTTGAGGTTTTGCAGCTGTTTAAATCTTTAATGACAAAAAACGCTTTTCGCTATTGCGCTTTATTGAGCACAAAGAGTTGGGGTTAAAAGGTGACTGAAAAGAAAATAACATTTTGGAGAGATATAACATGAAGAGCAAGACTGGCGTATGGGCGACAGAAAAGATGCTGCACTGGCTGCATCTGTCAGGTTTTATTCACAAAGTCAACAACTTCTAACACAGCGTCCTGTTTGCCACTGAAAATAAAAGTCAAATTGTTTTGTAACCTCTGGCACCCCATTTTGCAAACCGTACACCTTCAGAGTTCTTGATTCTCGAAACATTAGTCAAAGATCATGTAAAGCAAGATGAACATTCTCCTTTTTTGGGTAGGAAAAGAACCCTGAAAATGCTGGTGGCGACACCTATGTCAGAGTGATTTTAGGGAGTGACATGTCTTGCCCTAAAAAAGTATGAGCAAAAGTTGTTCTGTAAGAACTGCTCATTGAGACAAAAAGGAAAGCTTTTTTCCTCCCCACGGTGGCGATGATTAAAAAATGTACGTAGCATATCGTGGACGCCGTTTCAAAGAGTGAACCAACTTGTAATGTGTATTGTCTTTTCCAGACACCTGGTCTTCTAAGAAGTCCCACATGCACGTTGCGCACGTTAAAGATACCTTGGCGGTTGAAAATCGTAGAAAAGTAAGTACCTAGGCCGCCACCCAGGAACAAATTCAAATTATAAAACACTCCCTGTTTTAAAGAATATCCCTATCACATCAGCACAAATAGTAAGACGCACCCTTGCACCTTCCCTGACTCCAAACGCATTGCCTATGTCTGTCTTTTGGGGAATGTTAAGAAAATCAAGATCTGAAGGGATGGAAGTAGTAGGCCCTACTTGGGCAATCATCTTCCTCTATGTATGCCATCTAGGCAAAGCTGAACTAAGGGGCACTGCTTTAGTCATCATCGATATCGATGCACAGACAGAAGATAAGAGAAGACCTTTCCTTTGCCAAAGTTACGGAAAAGCACATGTTTTTTTTGTTTTTTTTTGGGGGGAGGGATGTTTTACGGCGCTCGCAACCGACTGCATAAGATCATATGAGCGCGCTTTCGTTTTTGCTTTCACTTTCGGAACTGTACCGGGCCCGGGGAGTCAGCCCCTCCGAACGAGGCGGATCTCCGGCGCCTGCCGAATAAGTAGCCACCTAGACGGTCATATATATAAGAATCCTTGCCCCTCAGGTTAAAAGTCTGATGTTCTACTGACTGAGCTAACCAAGACACAAGGTTTCGTCAACTCTCAGAACGTTGAAGAAAAGCAGGAGTCATTGGTCGATGCAATGAGTTAACGCCCCTTTCAACACTATAAAATATATTACGTGAGAGGCATGACCCCCGGATATAACGTTCATTTCCGACAGGACCGAACCAAATAGGAGAAGAGCCTTTAAATCTACCTAAGAGAGAGAG